ATGAGGACAGCTTTATGTTTACACCACACTGGGGCACTTTGCTTAAGGTCTGTTATTATATGTGGCCTAAAAAATCAAGTTAGTCCTCAAGACAAAAACGAGGGCTAACAGTTACTCTGAGCAAAGGCCCTATTTCGCCACCTCAGGTCTAGTGACCAGGGAAGGGACGCCTAACTCTGAGAAGCTCTAGCTGCTTAAATATCCCCAAGGACAGGTCAAGGACCCACTGGACAGTGAGGTCTACAAACAGGCAACAGGAAACTCAATGCAAAACCAGAATTTTAAAAAGTTTTAACAATTTATTAGTCTTATTTTCCAGTAAAATATTCACATAATGTCAAAAGAATGGAATGACAGAGACGTAGCCGACTGCCTTCAGTTAATTCCACATAAATATTTAAAATCTAAAAACTTCAGGGGATCATCAGACTGAGTAGAAATTTGATTCTTCAAAGCAAGTATTGCTTTACTATTGTCATTAATTCAGTCAATAATATGACCAATAACCTGCAGTGGTGAACAAAACGCTTGCTGAGTTTTTAAAAAGATGTTTCGGTGAGCCATCAGCAGTCAGTCCAAGAAGAATATGTTATTGAATTGCGTTGCACAAAGTTTCTTTACCTCTTCTGCAAGAAGAACAGAAAACGGTAAGAAATAGAGGTTTCCGCTTACAGGTTATATGATATCTATATTAGCACCTTAAATTCTTCTGGAAGAAAGTTGGGAATAAACGAACACCTGCATTAATTTTGATCTCAAATCCCTGAAGCCTGGGTAAAAAATGTGAATAAACCGAGAGACAGAGAAAGCTTATCATGCCTATTTAACATGGAGAAACTCTGCTGCTTTGGGTCTGAGGAAGCTCAAACCCAACACCCAGGGTGCCTACGACACCCACCGCTTAGGAGCTCATGGGGTCAGGGGCACGATGTCGCAAATCCTGAGAAGCCTGATGCCACAGCACAAACTCAGGGTTGCCGCAACCCTGCGCTGCAGATCAAGTGCTCCGCAGAGGTGACACTGTCCTGACTCGACTTCCACTCGTCCTTACTGGCGTTTCTAATGCGCACAGCTATTGTGTTCATGAAACAGAAAACTTTAGTAGACACCTTAGAAGACGCAGAAAAAAGAAGCCTCACACCTAACTTCTCTTACAGGTGCCACTTGGGGTGCCTGCACTGTCCGCTCCTTGTTCCAGGTCGCTCTCAGAGCAGCAAGGGAGCCTGATGCGGTGAGGGTGACACCCCCTTTCCTCCAGGGCACAAACATGGTCAGGATCAGGCAAAGCGGTTGCTTGGATCACCGCGTGCCGAGGACCAGACCAAATGCTCTGGCTGCAAGATGGAAGGGAACTTCTGCATCACAAGGCTGCCCGTGCGCAGAGATGGCTGAAAATTGCCACGTGACCCTGGCAGCTCTCGCCTAAGTGTGTGTTCTCATCGCAGGAAATAAAAAGAGGATCTCTCTCCCTTTAGTATTATAAAAATGATGCCAAGTTTCCCGTGATGCAGGACATTTTTTCACATACTTTTTTTGAGGAACTAAGCTATTAAAAAACAATGAATTAAATGATATTTCAAGCAACAGAGGCTTCTGCTCAGAATCTCAACAGTCGCAACGTTCTGTTCAGTCTATTTCTTAGTACACTGAAAAGACAGGCGTTTTTAAACATCAATAGCATTAAAATTCTCAAATACCAAATCCTATTTACCATTTACTTCAATCAGGTTTGCATTTTTTTGATTCAAAATAACATACAGCTCCCGCTGATCAGACTTTTTCCCAACGACCCAATAATCACTCATCGCTTTCACGATGACTTCTTCATCCTCGTCCACTCTGTAAGACAAGAGTTTCAAAATGCCATAGTTTATGATAAATACGGCCGGATCGTGCAAAACAATCTAAAATAAGAAACGGGAAGCTTCAGTCATTTGGAAAGTTCAGGGAATCACGTCTGAGTGACCAGTGACCTCTGGGATTAATGCTCTGTTTGGAAATGGCCCCCAAAAGGTGGGCAGTGTGAGCCCCTCTAAGGGGGCCCTGGGTCACTTGGTTTTGAAGATGATTCCTTAATGTCTCTCATTAGAAAGGGGGCACCTAATTTGACAGGTGGTTCGATTTACCTGGTAAAATCACTGTTGATGTCACCCAGAATCTTCATTAAATCCGGATGAACAGACGTAAGCGACACACTGGGTGTTTTCCTCATGTGAATTGTACTTTTCTCTGCTAAATTCATATGGTTGAAGTAGATAAACTTAAACTGGGGTTCTTTTTCAGACCTGTGAAAATGTCATTAAAATGGGAACATTCTGAAAGAATAAATTATCCAAACTCTACAACGACACTGTTAAAACTTTAAATCTGTGTGGCTAAGCCTTGTATTTTCGATGGCTGGACCTTCAAATTAAGAATCTCAGTTAAGATGTAACAGGCTCCTCTTTCATTAGTAACTTCCTTGATATCTGTGTGGTACTCAATATGATGAAATTTCCCAGAGCTGAAGTGTATTTTTTAAAAACCAAAAATATTTTAACCATTTTGTGATGATTTTCTCCAAAGTACGATGTGTTATAAATGGCAATCGCTTGGTTATTCCCTGAATTTTTTAAAAATGCAAACTAAATCAATACGGGCCATTTATTTTCTAGTGGAGGGCGTCGGCAAATCTGGCCATTTTTCTAAATAAAGTTTTACCGGAACGCTGCCACACCCACTGTTTATGAGCCAGTTGCTGCTTTCACACGTAAACGATAGTTGAGTAGTTGCAACACATACAGCCCCCAAATCTAGAACAGGCCGGGCACAGAACCGGCCTCTGGGATCAAGACTGCTGCCTCACGTACACTGCACCCCATCAACAAGGCCACTGGGGTCTTCTTCCTCCTTCGGGGCTGCCCCCAACTCCTCTGGGATATGAGTTGTGGAGGTCCCAGGACCGGAGCCTAAAATGGTTTGATTTGGGTCAGAAGGATTTCCAGAAGAAAAACACATTTCCTTTGTATTCGAAACCTTTTTATCTTTAGTTGATATTTATGGTCTGTAAAATCTCAGAAGCATCTTAAGGTCAGCTCTCAAAGATAACTACATTTCTAGAATTCCTATTTTTGGGCACACCCCTAAATTGTGCGGAGCTTATGCCAGGGACCCTATCTTTCAGGGGGCCAGTGACACTGTACAGTGGGTCTCTTAACAGTCGAAAAACTGTCCTCTAGAACAGACGGATGTGTACTAAAACATGTATAGCAAGATCTTAATTGCAGAATGTAAGTAGGGGGTATATGGGTGTGCACTACACAATTTTTGCAACTTCCCTATGTCTGAAAATTTTCATAGTAAAATATCGTAGAGAAAACTGCTCTCTAATGACACAGTAATTAATATCCCAGGCTGCCTCCTTTCTTCTGCACAATCCCAAGCACGGTTCATCCTA